GTTGAACATCGAATTCGACTCCAAGAATGTAATGACCTTCGTCAGCATCAACAGGGACATCGGAACCGCGCGCTTTGGAGTCCGCTCGCGCTTCTTGGATTTGCTGAGACCGGCGAGAATCCGCGTGATGGCTGCTGACCGTGCCGGGTTGCCTCGAGGTGCTGGGGTGCCGTCCGGAGAAGTCTCAACAACCCAACGATCGTGTGGGTGGCCACCGGCTAGCATCTCAGGTTTCGTGTAGTGCCAGCTAAGCGCAGCGCGAAGCTTTTCAGCGGGCCATTGAGTTGAGTTGGAGGTTTCGAGTAAGTTGATGTACGCGGCCACCACACCGGGCAGCTCCACAAATCGTTTCTTCAGTGGGTCTGGGTAGCCTTCACTTTTGCAGAACGCTGAGAATCGTCGAAGACTGCTGCTGTAGTCGCTACGCGTCCTGCTCTCGAGTCTTTGATCCACAAACCGGGCTGCAGCGATCGCAGCTTGGTAGAGTCGACTTGTGGTTGGCAGGTCCATTAGCGCCTTCGTCACGTGTTGGTCTTAGCAGCAAAAGGTGAAATGAAGATCTCTTTCATTCGGAGGATGGTCTCGGGTATCCGTCGTCCCTTATTGTACCCAAAATGTCGTCCTTTATAGTCCTGTGCCTCATATGCAAACGCATGGTGCTGACATATGAGTTTTCCAGTAAATCAATAACTTTTCAGTTTTTTTACCAATCAAGGCACATCGCACGGTCATTTATTGGGCTCGCATCGGTGGGAGAAGTGTATCCCTTTTATTTCTTAACACAAATATTTAACTGCCCTCTAGTTAGCAGCTAGACTGGCTTATTATAACCAATTACCATGTACAGTACTTATTAATAATAATGTAATAATAATGTCAATGTTATTGAGACTCTCAGTACAGTACACATGACTGAGTCAGTACTGTACCAGAACCAGTACAGGCGATTCTTCGTCAGATTGCGCAGCTGCTTCGCCTACCGACACTCTACCGACATTTGGATCGTCGGGATCGAGTCGGGATCGGATTCGAATTCGACAGAGGGGTCCGTCCGAATCGGACTGGACTCCGTCGTCGGAATCCGCTTTCAGCGCTTTTTTATTACATGTGTACTGCATTACCAGTATTGTGCTACTGTACTCGCTGAAGCGGCCAAGTTTCTGTGATGGAAAACGTTAGCGGCTTGCGAAGTTTCGTCGCAGGACTGTTTTGCTAAGTTGGCGTGGGCGACTGTCTCTGACAGAAACTCTTTGTTACAACATACATATTGTACTGTATTTGCCATTGGCAAATGGCCAGTCTGCAACTTGCAGAACAGTAGTCTAAATTTCGTGGTGTGACATGCCCGTGAGCACGTGAGTGAGTCTGTGTGCTCCATTTTACAGTGAGCCTGAACCGTCCGACGGGGGCTTTGTGTTTCCCGAACGGGTTACAGCAACTTGCTGTAGAGCGTGCTGAGCACGCTCTACCGTGGGCATATCCGCACTGCACCATATCGGCCTGAAGATCCGCCGGTGCCAGAATTAGTCTACCGATATATGTAATACATTTTGTACCCTTTGGATATGGATTGTAAATGTGGCAACCCACAAGAACTTGCTGATCTGCTGTGTTGTGCTGTGAGCATTCCTCGCCTCAGGCGAGTCGCCTGCCAACTTGCGTTTCACAAAACTTCAGAAGTGCATGGATGCATCACCTTGAAATGTGTTGAAGTAACCATCTCCGATGTGATGCTGACTATCTAGGGGAATATAATTGTGCTATATCATATAGAGATTTCTTATATAACTGGACTGGTTGGTGGAGAATAACTCCCCTCCAGGACACCAGACTATCTAAATCACCACTTCCTCTTTTACGAACTCTACCACACAAGCGTCTTCTCCTTCTACATTCAAGACTTCCTCTTCACTATGGCCGCCTAATCCTCTCTACCTTTGTCCTCATTCAGTTCTGTACTGCCCTAACAACTCTGCGCAAATCATCCCTCCAACAGGTTATCAGCCCAACGCTTCGCCAGGGTACTGACGAGCTGAAAGCGGCAAGACGATGCGCCTCCAAGCCCCAAGGCTCATGAAGGAGATCGGAGAGAAAATCGCCCGACGGACACCAACTTGCGTGAGGCCACGTTGCCAACTTGGCTCCAGCCACTGTGCTGTAGCACAGCATGCGTAGTTATTCGCCATGCTGGGAGGTCATGAAACCCCCGCGCCAGCCATGGAGCTGTAGCGCCGCACGAGACACATACATTCCGTGCCACACCGGCCATTGCCGAGTTGTGAGGCCATGATGCCAGACCAGCCATAGCGCTGTACTATTGCTGCTGGTTGAAAAGCCGTACTAGAAGGCCACAGTGCCTTGTGCTCTACGTACATGTACGCGTACACGTACACGTACACGTACACGTACACGTACACATACACGTACATGCATTTGATGATGTACAAGTACATGTAGTACATATTTAAGGCGAAGAACTAAATACCGCCCTCACGCACCAGCAGCATTGCTGTAGTGTCACGCCATACTGGGAGGCCAAATGCCCCGCTTGCGAGCTATAAAGCTGTGCTTAAAATATTCCAGCTACAAGCTGTGTATTTACTACTAGTATATGTGTACTTAGTGAGATACCATTTTAAATATGTACATCTCGAGCTACAAGGCCGAATGGCACAGCTAAAACCTCGCTTAATGCAAAGCTGCAGCAGTCTACTAAATGCAGATCTACGGCTTGTTGAGAACAGGTAATCCACTACATTTTGGACCTGTAAAATAAAAATATACCTTAAAAAAACAAGAAAGAGATAAAATGAAAATGGGCAATTGTCCATACAAACATGTGTCTGGTATTTAACCAAGTTAAGAAATACGCCCAGAAATGTATGAAACTGGGAGGCAACAACGCCGAAACAATTCATTCAATTCGCCAAATTAATAAAAAAATTATTGCGGCAAAAGTTTCAAACATTTCCAGCATAAAGAAAAAATCTTCAATACTTTATGACTTTAAGACAAGCCTACACAAGCCTCTGTCTACAGAAAGCAACTATAGTTTTACTGCATTAGTTTCATTTTCAATGGAATCGATAGTTTACAAACCTATTGCTTGCACTTGCGAAGTATAAACAAAATAAAAATCTTCGAAATGAGAAACAACTCCATGAGCCTCTAGGGAGAAAAATAGCCCCAACGATGAGAGCCTGCAAACAAGATGCGTACACTACCGATGACACTGTTAGATGTTTTTATGCTTTGAAAGCTGTAGCCTTTCTTTAAAAATATTTGATATCAAAAAACTCTCCACACAAAAGTAAAAGCAATCAAATAATAACAAAAAGCAAATACGAAATTTCAAAGTGTGAAGAAATATCCACAAATTAAAGAGCACAAAACTGGCAGTTTAATGAACAAAATTTTAACACAACTTTTACAAAATATCTAAATATCAACACGGTGAACAGGTGTATCCTCAAAGGTTTCCTGAGTAGCCAACAATACAGCGAACAGGTTTTGACACCTCAAAATGAAAGGTTTTCCTGAGTAGCTTTCTTCAAAACGCGTGCAACAAAAGCGCTAACAACGACATCCTACTATGGTGAACAGGTTTAATCCTCTACGGTTTTACTGAGTAGCCAAAATAACAATAAAACAAGAAATCTGTACAACCCCTGCCAAAACTGGTAACAAAACGACAAATCTGACAATAGAAGTCAAAGAAAAAAGAATGTCAATATCAAAACAAGATCTACCTCTTGTAAATGTTCATGTACGCACAGGACTGTTATTAACAGCCACCTGTGGTGCACCTGACAGATAGAGCATCATACACATTCCTCGATGTGGGAGGCTGTTGAAGTAACCATCTCCGATGTGATGCTGACTATCTAGGGGAATATAATTGTGCTATATCATATAGAGATTTCTTATATAACTGGACTGGTTGGTGGAGAATAACTCCCCTCCAGGACACCAGACTATCTAAATCACCACTTCCTCTTTTACGAACTCTACCACACAAGCGTCTTCTCCTTCTACATTCAAGACTTCCTCTTCACTATGGCCGCCTAATCCTCTCTACCTTTGTCCTCATTCAGTTCTGTACTGCCCTAACAACTCTGCGCAAATCATTCCTTCAACAAAATGCAAACCCAAATTACAAAAATACCCTGCTTTTGTGGTCAACTCTCCAGACATTGCTGCCCTCGGTAGAGCTTATGCGAAAGCACTTGCGGGCTGACTCGCAGCATAGCGATGAAGAAGTCGTGGTGGTGCCTAGACTTCCGAGAGTCTAAGCTGTCATTTTTGCTCATAAAAACAGCAACAGGAATGATTTTTGCCGGCGCTACAGTTAACTTGTTTTATGTAAGTCCCAAAGACGAGCCAACAGCGGAGCTCGCCCAAACCTGCACTTTTGACTTGCCCCAAAATAATAATCAAAGCCCGGCGGTGCACACGCAATTTGGCTGCAAACAGCAAGCATTTGATCGCTTTGTGGCACGGGCTTCGGTTATGGCAGCCGCTGCCCACGTTGGGCACGGCATGGCGCATGAACGCTCACGGTAGGCGTCGTGATGGCGGAGGACGGGATGCTCGCTAGCTCATAATTCGCATTAAAAGCAAATTTAGAATCAAGAACTGATCTCAAATACCTAAAGCAGTGTCGTAGGGCCAAGTTGGCAGTACCTGTACTGTACGGGCCAAGTTGGCAGTACCTGTACTGTACGCCGGCGATCGTTCAAGGTCGGCGTGTCCGTCCTCCCTCACTTCGCTGCTGGCCACCGCCGGACTTCTGCACGTGTGGCAACGCGGCAATTACCCTCTCTTAAGTGCGAATGTCGGTAGGTCACAGAGCCGAGCCCGATCGGGAATGTTTACTGACCAGAGAGCTTCTACCGCCATTGATTGGACGTGCCGACCTCCATCGTGGTTTACCGGATCGGCGCGCTGTCATTCTCAAATTTGCATCACATCGAGCGAGTCGGGCAGACCAAGTGTCCAAGCTCATACGTCACTGACCACTATTACTCCAGCTACCGCTGCGACACTGTTTCAATTTTATCATGCCCATGGTTGCTGCCGCCGGATCAAGCTCGCCGCTATCGGCTTCCAAACCTAAGGCCAAGTCCATTTCGCCAACGGCCAAAGGTATCTGGTCTTTGGAGGAGCATGACCGCTTCCTGGAGGCCATGAAGCTCTTCCCTAAGGGTCCTTGGAAGTCAATTGCCGACCACATTGCTACGCGCTCTGTGCGTCAGGTGCAGACCCACGCACAAAAATATCAGGAGAAGGTGTCGCGTCGATTGCGCGGCCTGCGAAAGTCGAAAAAGAAACTCGTGCGTCCTGAGCATCGTATTGACGAGGACACTATGGAACTGTGCAAGCTTGTGGATTGCGCCGCCGGGAAATTGGTTGCAGCAAGCAAGAAGTCGACATTGCGAGTCAGCGTCGTCGTGCTTGAGCCGTTGCAAAAGAAAAACATCTTGAAGGAGGAGCCCGTTGAACCTCACAGTAGCCCACGGGGCACGGATGTAGATATGAAGACCGATGACTTCTTGCCGTTGCCATTCCTGGACTTTGGTGAGGATATCGACCTGGATCCAGTCCACATCCCCACCGTCAGCGAGTCTCTAGACTTCTTGATCGACTACCTGTCGATATAATCTCTGCAGCCAGCCACAGCTCGGTTGCTGATAGTGCAGTAGCAGGAAAGACCCGTCATATTTGGTGAGGTATCCTTGGTCAAGCACACTTGCTTGATTCATATTTATATCATAAAGAGCCTTAGCAATACCACACACACACCTTATCCGTGGGGGATGATGCGTCGATACAACAGCTCGGACGGAGGGCGTACTGAATCCGAGTTAGTTCAGGCTCAACAGTCCCCGCTTGATCTCTGGACAACAATGTTTTCTAGGGTGTCATTTGATTGCACTTCTTCCCGCGCACAGTCCTCTTTGGTACTGTGTTGGACCAAGTTCAGTAGCGCCATGGTGCCACAACTGTCATGCGACAACACCCAGACACACCAACTACATGTAATACTACGTACTTCGAAGTACTACGTAGTACAGTAGTAACATGATAAAGGGCTCTCTACTTGGCTGGTAGCGCACACATTTAATGCGCAGTTGCGCCGCCACCAAGGAGAACGCAGTCGAAGAGCAGCGGTTTTTTTTAGGAACCGCTGAACCCGGCACTAAAGCAAACAAATTGCTGCTGCATCCTATCGCTGGGATTACATTTTACTGACGCGTTTTGCCTGGCAGTGCGCAGATCATGTACATGTACGGTACATTTTGTTCCCAGATCTCTGCCATGTCGCATGTTTTAAAGGATTTGCTCGTCAAATGGGGCTTGGCCGCCAAGCGCCAAGTTGGCGAGTCGCCAATGGCGACAACGTGAACAGCTTTGAGTTGAAGCCTTCGACTTTCAGCAATTGGCTACAGAGTACTGTAGGAACTTCCTAGGAAGGGCACAATTGATCTTCGGTAGTGCTGGTGAAGGCATCACAGTACTTTATCAAGACTTCGGATCGAGAACTCGGCTGTTGCTGTGCGAGTTTACGTTTGGGGGGCCCGCGCGTGTCCAGTGGACTCGAGATTCTCAACGCCATCGAGTCAAATCGTCGCGAACGAATTGCTGCAAGCTGACTGCTTGTCAAGCGAAAACTTCAAGCAGTGCTTGAAGCATTTCGGTTGCAATGAAGCCAGCAGTTGCTGCTGCAATGCAGCCTGCATTGAAGCTCCTTCATATTCAACTCACGCGTCGTGTCTAGTAGACAGTCTACGGCCCCTATTTAACTCAGCATTGCAGTCAGGCTGCTTTCAGTAGCTCGTTAAGAGCGACTGGCGCACTCCACGAGTTCGGCGACAACGTGACAGCGTGTTGTGCAGTGCACAATGTGCAGCACAGCCACGATTAGCTGTGCATGTGTGACGGCAGCTCAGGCTCCTCAGACTGGTTAAGAGGCTCAGTCCATTCCGTTTGAATGACGACAGTGATGTACACAGTCATTGTGCTGACCCAATCTGGCAGTCTTGAATTAATTTTCGACGTAATCACCTTCATGCATTCATGTGCTTGAAACAATCAGCATGAAGATACTGAACTCACAGTCAATTGAAGCTACTGGCACCGTCATAATTAGCTCTGGCCGCCACGAGCGATTATTTTTAGGCATTGCAATGGATCTCCGTCAGAGTTCTCCACAGAGTCATTGCTCTCTACGAAAATCGCACAAGACAACAATCCCTCATCTCTCATTGTGCCATATAAATTAACATTTTACTGTGATAACAAATCCATCGTTTGTTTACTTCGAAGTACTGTAAGCTTATTCCAGGACTTGCTGATGGTCCGCCCTTCAAATGCGTTATCATGAAAACGCCGCTGCATGGACACGCAGCAGAACTTGACTCAAGTGCTAAGTCCATGTCAATGCTATTTCTTGACGTCAGAATGATATGATCAACGAAAAGCTGGCCACTCGATATTTTGCCAGGAGTGCATCGCTCATACATCACAAGTATATTGAAGTTAATATTACATTATTGGATTCTGCCATGAGACTTTCGAGTGTCTCGGGGTTGCTGCCCTTCGCTTGAACTATCTGCGACCACAAGCTCGCTCAAGCCTTTAATGAGGCTAAAAGGTTTCATCGCCGGGAGACCCCATGGACACATCGCTTTACTTTGGGTACTGTCGATAAGTAGGCTGCATTCGATTGTCTACGACTACGAAAGCGTTGGCCACCACACATCCGTATTATGGAAATGCGGTACATGGATGGCATCGTTGCTAAAATAACGACTGTGATCGTACACAGCTTACAAAGCTCAACGTTCGCTTGCACTTCGCCAGCAACCGGCTGGAATCGTGCTATCTGCAAGAAACAGCGTGCACTGGAATCAGACATCATGAAAAGCCTACATGTAGCAGACGGCAAGTTGCCGTGAGATTCTTGCCAATGTATACATTTGGCCCAAAACACTACTTCAAAGTACTCGTTATTTGTGATGTCTGCGTCAGAGTCTGACGTCGATGCCGCCCGTGCTCCTAATCTGGATCCAACGAGCAGAAGCACAGGACGACTAAGCGATGTAAACAGCTGCTACACTCTTGCCAGGCTAACTGTCATTTCAACACGCAGTTCATTGCTCCCAAATCGATCTTAGCTAGTTGACAGCTTAAAAGTATCATCTGGCAACAAATGCAGCGAAAGTATTTTAGACAATGAAAGCGTATAACTGATATTATCTCGTTGTAATTTGGCTCTTTCTGCCGAGCAGGACTCTCTTGAGATGTTACGGATTGTCGCGATGGCGCAATAAATTAGGCAAGAAGCAGGTCGATAGATTCCTGCACGTCTTGTCGGTAGGCGTCGTCGGCCAGCACCTGGTCGAACGACACTTCGGACGTGTACGGCAGCGGTTCCAACTCGAACAGCAATGGCTCCATGTCGACGTCCATGTCCAGACTATCGAAGCTGATGGAGCTTATACTGCTGATGCTGTCGACATCACTTGCAACAGGGCTGCAATCGCCAGTCAGCAGCTCTCCAAATCCGCAGCTTAACGGTGACATGTCCCCGACTGGAAAGGCCGACGGCGAGCGTGGCGAGCCCTGCACTGTAAAATTCTTCACGCGCTGAATGCAGCCCGTTGCATGAGCGTCCACGCGGTGCTCGGGGCGCACGAATTTCTTCTTCTGTTTGCGCAGACCGCGTCGTCGGCGGTTAATCTTCTGCTGGTATTTCTGTGCATGCGTCTGCACCTGCTTGATAGATCGCGTACCAATAAAGGCGGCGATGGAGCGCCATGGTCCCGTCGGGAACATCTTCATGGCATGCAGGAACTGTTCGTGCTCCTGCTCGGACCAGAGGCCACGCGTGATTGGCGTCGTTGGCGCAGGCGCGACAACAAGGCTACCTCCGTGGGGGCTAGTGGGCATCATGATCATGGCGTCTGTCGCTATGGTTGCTGTTGTGCTGCGGCTGGGTGCGCGGCTCAAGTAAAAATCGGAAATGGGGTCAAACTCGCGACGTGATTGATGTGGCCGCTAGTCACTTTTTTAGCTTACCTTCGCCATGACACGCCGTGGCCCTTCTTCGCGAAAATGGGGGGATGGGCATATCTGAGAGCGAGTAGGGGTATTTTATGGCTCAGCTTCGTCCGTGGTGGAATGAATGACCAATGGCAGCTGGGTATCCCGCGCGCCTCGTCTGCTCAGTTCCGGTACAGTAGGGCGCGGTATCTCAGCGCGCTAAAATTATCAGTCGGTAAAATACGAGCTTACTGTATTAAATAGTGAAGACGCAGCGGATCAGCATTATTATAACATGCTCTCGTGCCGAAGCGGCTGCTTCTCAACATTTTCACGCGAGACGCATTGAACAGTGAGAACAGTTTTTGAAGCGAACCTGTGGCATGCAGTAGTCGTGGCACCAGGCGAATTACATAAAGGCAAGTTGCGGCTTGCAGTAGGCTATCCAGTTTTGAGAATTATAAACGTTTAATAGTATGAACAGTGTTTGCTGCGTCTTCGGTACGTTTTAATAGTTAGGCTTCATTTTGCTGAGATCTGCCGCTGCTGCCGGTTGCAGAACTAAAACGCGCAGACAAAACGGCCTACGTCAACGCAAAATGCATTTTGGTGCTGTCTCTGCTGAAAACGCTAACCGATGTTAGACAAGTTGCAGCATCTCATGCCGAGTAAATATAATAGCGTAAAGGCTTCGGCTCTCATACTTTCGCGTTGATATTCCTTGTACACGTATGTTTGCTCTACAAGTGGAAATTAGTTTGCGAGGGTTACTGGGATTTCGCTTTGGCCGCTGTCTTCGTCACTGGTATAGATGTCAGAAAGCTTGGCTATAAGTGATTGCTTCCGGTTGGAACGGCCTAGCTAATCGCACAGACAGTAGCATATCCAGCGGTCCGATGTCTTATCGCAGATGCCGTCTGAGCCATGCGCTGCCTATACAGTTCTTGTGCTGCAGCAGCGATACCGGTAGCTTTGGAAATGCAAGTATCCACTGGTTGCTGGCCTGTGATCAACCCTGACTAAACCCCTTGCAAAAATCTTGGCTGGTGCTATATAATAAATGAAGCATGTGCTTTTTTGCAACGGTATCAAGGGAGGTGTTGATTTTATGATCAAATCTGGGCACATTTTGGTCACGAATAGATAACTTCGGAAGCCTCCTTACGGGCATATATGCGATACATATATGCCAAAGAATAGTCACGCGTGTTGGCGGTGCTGCAAAGACTGAAGGTCTCAGGCGTTGAAGTAGCCTTGACCAACGGCATTGGCGCGATTCCAGTGCCGTCCCAGTCCAGTACCAGTACTCGGACTCGGCATGCGAACATGACTCCGCCGGCACGCGCGACGTTCCTTCGGTCGGCTTCGCTTCTCAGTCTTTTCTTTTTCTTCTTTTCGTTTTGCAGCGGGCTCGCATGGCTTTAGTCAAACAGAGTTGCATACACTGCATCTAATTCACTCAACCAACTCATCGAGTCAACGAGTTGTGTGTTTATGAGACACCAGCGTAGGGCGCTGCATGCGAGCCGCGACGTGATGAGGCCGGTGCTGGATCAACACACTTTGGGAAGCGCGGCCGCGTCCGAGCTGCGACGCATGCCGGCTCTTCCAGGGAAAGCTCGCTCGGCGAAAATGCGAGCTTTGTCAACCTGAAAGTTTCACTTAGCTATTCATTATTGATTGGATTCCTGTCCCCCCATTTGAGTGGGTTTCACACGAGGTGCAGTGCAACTCTCGCTGCGAGTCTATATTAATAACAGCGACACCTTTGCACAGACAGATATCGAGACTTACAAGTGCTAAGCGTTGAAAACGATGACCAGCGAGCTTTGAGGCTACTTTAACGTGTTGCAGCTCGGTTTCAGTCGCGAGTCAAGCGGGGGGCTCGTTATTACCAGGCTCCATCGTCGAAACTTGTCTCCAAAAACGAGCTTCGATAAAGTCGACGATCGTGTTCGGTTGGTACATAAAACAGTGGTCATGGTAATAATCTAGTCTACAGCATTCGCAGCCCCAGCCCATCTCCTAACGGGAGGACCAAATCTTTTTTTGTAGGCCTAAGCTCAAATTTTGCGAAGGTTTCCGCTGGCAGGCTGCAGCTATCGGCGACAAGCGGCGGCGTTAACTCAGCGGCTCCGGCGCTGCTATTAGCGACACAGATGCAATGCTGGGTGTTGGTCGGCCTCATGTCGGACGCCGCTGAGCGGATCATGGCTGTGTGCGACAAGCTTCTGCCAACGTGGCGTCGCCGACCGCGCTGCACGAGTATTGTAAGTTGTGGCGAGTTCTGCTGACTGCATTCAGTCCATTGCAGACCCACTGTCACTGTGATGCATTGGCAAAGGAAAAACATGTACTTGGGACAAAGGAAGTCTGCGGCAACGAACAGCTAAGAACTATGGAGCTTGGATACAGAGCCAATCGTGGTGCTGGACTGCGCTCAGATATGTGTGCACGCAAGTTTCGGAAGTTGGCGTGCACGTCTTATGCGTGAAGAGGCAGAAGATCGCTTGCTGACATAAGGTTACTGAGGCCGTCGCGAAGGTTCAACGCTGATCGATCTCGAGGTTGCCTGCTTTCAGCTCGGATCACGACGGAACCGACCATGGGACTGTCCATCTGGGTCGTCTGCCGCAGAAGGCAAGGTAAAGTTGACACAACTGGACCAGACCACGGTAACGCCGGCCGACTTCCTGTGTCTCAAGTCTCGCGAGCCGATGTTGTAAGACTTATCGCTAGTATAGAATGGCATTAAATCATTAGTAAGTCGGCCGGGACACACTCGTTCATCAAGCTGCAGCCGACTTCCGCTGCTTTTTAAGCTGTGGCTTGTTCACATCGCCATTCACTTCATTTTCAACCTGCGCCTCCTCCGTCTCATTACCCGCCCCTGCCACACTCTTTCTCTTACGGGCCTTTGCCGCTGCTGCGCGCTTATCAATCTCAAACTCAAAGCCCACAGGCGTCGTAAGCTTCGGAAGTCGTACGGCTGGGACGCCGACGCCCCCACTGGCCGAAAGTGCTTTGGAGAACTGGGCGCTCTTGCCTGGCGCCGCTCCGTGGGTTGTGGCGTCGTGGTACTTTTGCGTTTTGCGCTTCTGGGCCTGCACGCGCTTGCGGATGGCAGCGATTTCCAGCAGCTCTCGGGACGTCCGTGTTAACATATCGGCACGAGAGCGAGCGGTATACTTTTTGATCTTGCGGAATTTTGGCGACTGCGGGATCGTCAGATGACCGTTTTCCTTGGCCACACGCGCTAAGCGACGTCGCTTCTGTGCCACCTTGCGAGCTTCAGCCACTTCCTTGTCTTTGCCAGTCAGCACCTTATCTCTTAATGCGGCCAGCGAAGCTTTCGTAGGCTTCAGCAGGCGGTCTGTAGATGATATTGCGCGTACCCTGGGCACGGGTGCGGGGGCGCCGCGGAAAATGGCGTCCAGATCTACGGGGCGCTTCGTCGGCGCCATTATTGTCCGAAGTGCTGCTTTTCTCGAACTGGCGGGAGGCATCCCATACAAATAATAAGTCTTTTTTTTAAATGAAAAAATTGTTTTTACCAATCTAACAATTATTAATACATCATCCACCAATGAAATACACACGGTGGTGCAGTACACCTATTTCTACTCTATTGAAGATGTCAACTTCGAGAATGCGCCCGGTGCCTCCAACTCGATCTCGACGCACTTCTCCTCTACAGACAAATACCATCGATGTACCAGCTGCAGTACAGGCGCAGCATGTTTCAATCCCGCTAAAAGCGCAGCAACCGCCTACTTCGATGCCTCCCAGATTGACGCAAGCAATCAAAGACGAGTTTGCTATCCGCTACCTGCAGCAGATTGGCGCCAATTCCACCCCAGAGAACATTGCAATGGTGTTGCAACACTTACCACTGGAGAAATGTGCTGTCTCATCTGCCTGGAAATCTCGTGGATCATTGGCCGACGTTTTGCAAATCGACTGGAATCCAAAGTCGCTTAGTCTGGGTGGTGAGCCTCCAGTCAAACTAGCTGCTAGTGGGGTGGGTGTTCATGTAACTCCAATAGCAGCGCTATTGTCACCGAGACGACAGCTACGTGGTCAGCATTCTTTTCAAATTGGCACGGTTTGCTTCACCTTTGACGATATGAAGCGTAAGTTTTTGCTGCCATTCAAACTAGCCACGGTGCCCACTGAACTTGATGTCTTACAAGTCTTTGGAAATCGCTTGGAAGCTGACAAAACACTGTCGCCCAACCAAGTGGAGAAATATGGTGGTGCGCCTGGCTCACCCACAGCTTTAGGCTCTATCGCTGAGTGGGAGGCACATCGACGACTCAAAGCTGTAGACGAGCGCAATGTCCCGCCGAATGCCAGCGCAGAAACAGTGTCAGAAATGCACAACGAATTTTACCTCACGTTGCCATTGATCTCCTTAGGGCTGCCTGAGGGTAACGAAATTACACGAACGGTACTTTACGAAGCCCTGTCAAGCACCGTCATGATAGAACTTGTTCAGAGCACCTTGCGGTATCTTTACTTTAAAGTGATCGACCCAACAAGGAAGAAGATACGCATCAGCAACGAGCAAGACGCACTTTTTGTCGCCATCGCACAGCAGTTTGCTCTGCTGCGAGTCAAGATGGAGCACAAACAGCGATTGATTCCTCGATCGCTCACAGTGCTCGTGCCATTATTGCTACTCGCCCTTCGCGTAGACATCGAGACACTTGTTCGTCTACAATACCCACTAAGCTTCTCTTGTGCCTCGGAAGAGATGACTCGACTCCTGCAAGACATTGACGCTCAAATAACGCGGTTATTAGACCCTGATGGTAACTGGAGTCGTTTGGCCGTGTTGGAGACAACGCACGAGGCCGGTCAAGCTCGTGCATCGTCCACGTTTCAACGTGCTCGTAGATATCGACGCCTCCGCGACCAATTCTTCCAGACTAGCGCAGTGCTGCATGGTCTCTTCCCTGACCCTTCGTCGGGCAACTCTCGCCGCGTCATGACTCAACGTGGTGGTGCAGGAATCAGCCATTACACACACTTTTTCAGCAGAGCTGCACCCACAGCTAAACAAGAGGAATGTCGTTTATCGGACGTATCCGTTGCTTCTAAGCTATCTCTACTCCAAAGTCTTCGACGCTCACAACAATCGTAAATCATAGCAAAGGGAAAGATCGTATTTTTCTCAAAGGCTCAGAAAATGAAGAAGTTAATGCTATCAGCGTCAATAAGCCAGATTTCTGACCCAGGCTGACGGCCATGTTTACTTGTTCAGTTCCTCCCAGAGCTTCTCCACGTCACCGCGCGAGTTGGCGACGACGGTGCGGCCGTCCAGGGAGATGGTCTCGCCTTCTGCGTTCACGAAGACCAGCATGGGGATACCCGTGACGCCATACTTGGTGCTTATGGCCTGGTTGGCCGCGCGTTCGTCGAAGGGCAAAGCCAGGAAGGGCATCTCGTTGTAATACTCGGCATACTGCGACGGATCGCGGTCGGACGAGATGAAGATGAGCTCGAACTCCGGGTGCTGCTCGATCATGTCGTCATACACAGCGCTCAGGAAGGGCGTGAACTGGCGGCACGGGGGGCACCAGTGCGCACTGAAGTAGAAACCCACCACCTTCTTGCCGGCCAGCTTGTTGTCCGTGTCCTGGAGACCGTCCTTTGTCTGGAGCTTAGCGCCGAGCTGTTCCGACCACTTCATTTTGTATTTAATACTCTTTCTTGGGGGTCGACAGCGAGAATTATAGTGAGTGAAAAGTTGTGTGGGTATCCAAATGGTACTGTGACGGACAGAATATTATGAAATGAATTTTGACGAAGCACAAAAGTCAAGTGCGAATTTCGCCACGTGGATCAATTTCGGCTTTCGGACTGGAAAAGAATGACTGAGCTTCGTAATCTTACCCCCCTACTGGAGTCTGGTGTCTGTCTGTCAGTCCGTCCGTAACGGGCTAGGGTTAATTAATGTAACGCAAATACGCGCGTTCTACTGGCTGCCGAGCGCAGCGAAGGCGGCTCCAATTGGCTAAAATCGCATTATGTGGTGTACATATTATATGTGGTATACACATCGTACTTAAAATGCACCGTTCAAATTTCATTTTGCCCCCATTTTCAAAACGGAAGCCGCGGAACGCCACGTTACTCAAGGTACGCTGCGTGTATGCATGTTAGTTTGCATTAGTAGCTAGCAAGACACTCATACACAGATAGTCCGAGGTTCCTGGGGCTGCTTAGGGGGTAGCTTATAACTTGCGGGATTCTATCCTGCAAGTAGGTAGCCGTGCTAAGGGGATTTAGTTCTAGAACCCTCTGGGTTCTTGGGGCTTCATCCCACCGCCCACTCTGCGCGAGAGCACATTTGGCACCTGGTCCATTGACCGCAAACCCGACAGCGAACCAGTTGAGCCGGTCGTTAATGGTTATTAATGGGCACGCACATTGCGTGCGTGCAGTTGGTCAGGAGGGGTACCGTAACTGGCCTCTTTTAACCGACAGATGGGATGGGGGCTGTAATAGCCTATCAATAACCAGCCTTTGCAATTAACGGCCGCCTTTTGGCAAAAGGATATCGCACCTCAAGCTACAGTACTATCCGGGGGCCCAACCCTGAAGATTCGACTGCACAATTTGCAAACTAAAACCGCTCCGGGCCTCACGGCCCGTGACTGTGGGATAAGTGATCGGAGATAACCTTGATGGGGGCAAGCAATCCCAGGTAGTACGCGTATTCCAACACACTACTCTATGAAAACCTACTGCTACGTGCGGTGTACTTAGACATTGTCTAACGCGTCACGTTTTCGTGTTCGCAGAACTATGGCTCGGAGTAAGCGAAAGAGGACGCGCGAGGAACTCGAGGAGGCCCAGCGCGAGAACGAACGCATTAACGCGACACCCATTCAAGAGGAAAAGGATGCGCGAAAACGACGTCAGACCAAGCGCAGAAAGAAACGATACGACTTGAACAAAGAGCTGAAGGCCCTCAGCGTACACCAAGACGAGCCAGACGTCACAGAAGCGACGGAAGTTCCGCCTCATCGTATTGAAGATCAGGAGGAGAAGACGGAAGAGTCCGATCCTTCGGTACATCAGCGCCGTTTTGCAGCTCAGATGGAGGCAGCGTATCAAGCGGGAGCCGCTGAGGTGGCTTCATTTGCAATACCTCCAGCTCCTGTTCAAGATACGATTCCGGTGTCAGCAGCGCAACGAGCTCGCGAAAGACGAGCTAGCAGGACATTTTCTCAAATAGATCGCGACCGTACCAGTGATGCGCAGAGAGCTCGCACGAGACGAGCTAATATGTCACTCTCTCAGCAGGATCGTGCCCGGAAGAAAGACGCTGAGCGCAAGCGCGCCCGTAGAGCTCGGATGCGCGGGGAGGAGCTTCAGGAGCACCGATATCAGAACAGGCAGCACCAAACGGCACACAGAGTGGGGATGAGTGAGCAAGAACGGGATACTGAACGCGAGGTAGCCCGCCAGCTACATGCGAATCGGCGAGGACACCTCTCGGAGGAACAACGAGATGCTGAACGTGAGCTAGACCGACTACGGCAATTTAATCGGAGAGCAGGGCAGACAGCAGAAGAGCGCCAGCAGGAACTCGAGCGGGTGCGCACTCGACGCCAGTGCGTTCGACATGGCCACGCTCTTATTTCCCTCGATAACTTCGATGCGTCCATGATAACGGGTGACGACGTGGTGAGCGGCCGGCACAAGCTTCCGACAACAACGGCTTGTCCGATCTGCAATGCTTGGAAGTGGCCTGGGGAGTCTGCGATATCATGCTGTCTCGCAGGCAGGGTAAATCTGCCTCCACTGCACCCCGCGCCACCAAAACTGCTTCAGCTGTACGGAGATCCCGAGTTCCGCCGTCAAATTCGTGCCTACAATCAAGCCTTCGCATTTACGTCGATTGGTGCTTCGTGCTCAAACCGATCGTTTCAAAATGTGCATCAAGACGAGAGCGTTGCGGGTACACACGGGGTGTACACATATCGCATTCAAGGGGCTATGGGGCACTACCTCGGATCTCTCCTCCCCCACATAGACCGTCGGACAGGCGCGCGAGTAGCACCCAAGTTTGCGCAGATCTACATTGTGGATCCAGACATGCAACGCCGCGCGGAGCGACGTCTTGGTATATTCGCGGATCTGGATCGTGTTGCACTACTAGACATCGAGAAAATGATGGCAGAGCACAACCCATTAGCGCAACGGTTCCTCCACTTTGGGCAGCAAGTGCGTCAACACAACACGGAGACTCCAGTAGATTTGGTCTTCCGTCTGCATGATAACTCCTCGCGACCGAGGACGCATAACCGCCCCACTGTGTCTGAAGTGGCTGCGACTCTCATTGAGGATGGCAACCTGGCTCAGCCTCGGGATCTACTGCTCTTTACACGCGATCAAAGGCTGCTACGTTTGTATGAGACTCACGCCGATTACGATCCACTCCAATACCCGCTTCTCCTTCCATATGGAGAGAAGGGCTGGACCTACACAGACGAGTTCGCGAATGGTGCTGAGTATCGAAACAAGAAGGCGATGTCGCTTCGTGAACACGTCGCGTTCCGCCTTCATCAGAAAGTGAATGACCAGTCCGCTCTCCACCAAGGCGGGCGTCTATTTCAACAGTGGTGTGTAGATCAGCGTGCAAAATGTGAGCAAGAACAGCTTCGCTGGGTGGCCGACAATCAGAAAACACTTCGCGCCGATCAATACAGGGGTGTTCAAGACGCTTTGCTCAACGAAGATACTTTGGCTCTGGCGGAAGGAGAAGTGCTGCTGTCGGAATACGACCGGGTCCAGAACAGATTAATGCACCCGGACCAGGACGGAGGCAACAGAGGACGACCTACCCACTTTCTTAATCAGGTTGGCAAGCGTATCATACTACCGGCTTCGCACCTGGGTAGCCCGCGGTCCATGTACAAGTCGTATCAAGATTCGATGGCAATTGTTCGGGAGTATGGACGGCCCGACGTCTTCTTGACGGAAACGTGCAACCCTAAGTGGGACGAGATTCTTGAAGCGATACCTTCCGATATCCAGACAGCTCAAGATCGACCAGACATCGTGGCTCGCGTGTGGCAGCAGAAACTGCAAGCGACGCTTGACGATTTAAACCAAGGCGTCCTGGGGCAAGTGCGCGCGCGGATTTACGTTGTCGAGTTTCAAAAACGAGGGCTCCCCCACGCTCACGTATTGATTATTCTGGCTGACGAAGACAAACCTCGAACGCGCGAGATCGTAGACAAGATGGTATGCGCTGAGATCCCAGATAAGGATACAAACCCTCAGCTGTATGAGACGGTCATGTCATGCATGCTCCATGGTCCATGTGGGCCTGCAAACCCTTCCTGCGCGTGTATGAAGGACGGCAAGTGCACCAAAGGATATCCGAAGCCCTTAGCAGAAGTTACACAAGCCAATGCCAACGGATATCCAGTGTACAGACGACGTCGACGGCAAGAAGGTGTTCTAAAGTTCAAAGGCAGAGAATACGACAATGCTACGATCAACCAGTGGGTTGTACCGTACAACCCGTACTTATCCCAGAAGTACAACTGCCACATCAATGTGGAAGTGTGCACGGATATTACTGCGGTTAAATACCTGTACAAGTATGTGTACAAAGGACCCGACATGGCTATACTCACTGTGGAAGAAGTCCGAGGAGGGCAGCAGAGTGCGCGTCGAGAACCAAATGAGATTCTACGTTTCTTGAGCGCCCGGTACATTTCTCCGGTGGAAGCTTGCATGCGCCTGCTCGATTTCACGATTCAGGGAAAAACCCATGCGGTTACTCAGCTAACGGTTCATCTCGAGTCAGGCCAGACGATTTGCTTTCGCGAGACGGAAAACGCGGAGGCAGTTTTGGAACGTGGTAGTCACACGATGCTGACCAGATTCTTTGAGTTGTGTGCGAGCGAAGTGCCCGAGAATCATATTGCCAAGACGATGTTGTATCAGGATATCCCCAAAGAGTTCTGCTGGAAAGCGCCGGAGAAAGGGCAACCGAAAAGGTGGGTTCGCCGGAAGCAGTATCAAGCAGCTGTTGGTCGCATGATTCACGTGTCTCCTCGAGATATGGAGCGGTTCTACCTTCGGCTACTGCTCTGTCAGCGTAGAGGTCCAACGTCGTTTGAAGACTTGAGAACGGTTAACGGAATTGTCTGCCCAACATTCCAAATTGCGGCGCGGGAGGCTGGCTACTTGGAGAATGACAACGAGTGGGTTTCGTGTTTGACGGAAGCGGCTGAGTTCCAAATGCCGTATCAACTACGCCAGCTCTTCGTCACCATTCTGGTGTATTCAGCTCCAGCAAATGTTGGTGTGCTATGGGATCGGTTTTTCGCGGATCTTTCCCAAGACTTCGCACGCAAACATCAGGCTTTGATGAACCCCTTCAAGTCGGCGTTGGTCGAATTTGAAACGCTGATGAGCATTCAAGAACTACTTCAAGCGAGTGGGTATGCGGTAGCTGACTTCGACGAGCTTCCTCAGTTGGGGTCGTTCCCAACATTGATTCGTGAAGCGCTTCGCCAAAACGGATTACTTCGACGTGAGCTCACTGGATACGATGCGTCAGCTTTGGAGGCGATTGTACACACAGAAGATCAGCTAAACGAAAGTCAGCGGGTGGTTTACGACCAGATTATTGAAGCGGTTGAATGCCCGGAGGAAGGCAACAAGTTATTTTTTGTTGATGGCCCGGGTGGTACTGGAA